CTGTATTTGCCTCATCGGAAGCGATATATACGCAATTTTTCAACCCCGTTATAACACAGTGCAGCATGTATTCAGTGATACAACCTCTATTTTAGTTTTCAACACTTTAATCACGTTTGGCATTCCATAGATATGAACTGATAGCCTCAGTAGTAGGGAACCTGTCAAAGTATTGTTGTCTGTATCTGAACATAATATGCTTTAGTGTGAACGGCTGGATTAGTGCCCAAGTAAATGCACCAGACAGAAACAGAATTTCAACTAACAAACAAGTGATGTTTATTTTTATCTCTAGAGAGTACCAATGTCTGAACTGTCAACCACATTTAAAAGATCTATATATGATAACTTGAAGTGAAGTAGCAGTTGATAAAACCTGAATGTACAGGACATTTACATCTTTAAACCCTTTCAATGAAACATCAAGGTTGTTAAACATGTTCAAACTCCTAGTTCAAGCTTAAGAGAGAGTATCCGTCAAAGCCGTCCGGCCGATCTGTCTCAAAAAATAGTTTTTGCTTATTTCCGGTATACTGAAAGACTTTCATGTCCTAATACTAAAACCATAATTCGCTTGATCGCATCTTTTAAATTTACCAAGTTTTCAGAGATTTTCTGATCGCCCCAGTGAACAGTCGTGGCGACCCATATCAAGGCTGAAATTTAAGGTAAAATTGGAGGTCAATTTTGCGAAAAATGTCAGGCCCTTTATAAAACAAACACCAAGACTGGTTGAACTGAGTCTTGTTGAGCTACCAGAGCGACTTTTATAAAGGTTAGGCGCCAAAGAAGGCTATACTGACACTTAAGGAAGCCCATATTGTACTGTTTGATCATGCACACGAAAACGGATCAAATACAAACTCTATTAGTACAGCGAGCTATTTGATTTAAACTGGCTGATTTGGAAAGAAGGCAACATATATTGACACCACAGAAGAAAACTTTGTGATATTGCTACTGAAATAATTATAGCTTTGTGAAATTGTAAAATTTTTGAAATATCCAATTTTAATACCTCCATTTTGTCAAACCCTTCAAAATAAAACTTCACAGCAATGTTGGCTGCAAACAAACCTAAAGGAAAAAGTAACATGGAAAAGCGATGTAGAAGCCTCAAAGGTTATATAGTAGTGAAACAAATGTCTTTGAAAGATTTAGTTTGAGTTACCCTGCATGCTTATACGCATTTGATCATATTTACATGTATTTTGTGCAATATAAGTATTAAATTATTATTATTATTACATGAGGACCCGCATATGACTTTTTTTTGCACACCACATGGCGCCGGCATTGTTAAGGATGCTAGATTTTGAGTGACAAGCAATAAACTTCCTACTGCAAAAAGCAATTAGTTTCTTCACCGTTTGTGCAATCATCAGTGGTCAGTTATTCGATAAAGCGTCCCATTTTTTAACAAGATTAAGGCCGCATCTGGCAATAGAGCAATTAGAGAAGAGATTACAATTTAACATATGCCAGAGATTTGCGTTCTCATGCAGCTCACGAGTTATCCAGAATAATCACGCATGGCCTACGACTCAAGTGTTGTCTTGTTCCATACTGTATTCAATGTACTGAAGGGTCGTTGAACTCAAATAGAATCGGGCAAATGTTGCTAGATAAAAGTGTTGATTCAAAATATTTATTATGTAAAACATCCTGCAGTCCGTGAACACACAGTATACTACTCATCTTAAAGGAAGTGGATGCCAAATCATTGCAATCGCATTGAGTGCTGTGCTGTTAATCGCGTATTACAATGTTATTATAAAATATTTCTGTAAAATATCTGTGCTGTAACCACTTAATCGTTCTTTTTTAAGCAACTGCAGCAAAAAGAATAATAAGGCTTTTATAGAATAAAACAACAGCAGCAATATGAGCAAAAGACAACCTTTTGAGATCAGGTTCTCTCTAACTTAAAAAAAAAAAAAAATCATTCATCTGAAAACTTTCTTGCCAGTTCGCTGGAAATGTCACTAGCCAAAGGCCTGTCTGGGGCATCTACTGCAGTGGTACTAGCGATTAGTTCTGAAAACGTTGGAAGAAAATTTCTCCCTTCAACGGCTGTTCCAAGCATTTTGCCAAAAGAGAAAATGTCACTTTGCGTGCTTTCTTTCTCGCCGGCTTTTACCTCCGGCACAAGGTAATCTACATCACCTCTTCTATCACCCTTTGCTTCAGCTATGGCTTGACTTTTTCCAAAATCCATGAGGACTAGATGAAGCTCCCCTGCTTCTCTGTTGAATGAGCACTTTATTCGACTTCAAAGCATTCGCAAAAAACCCTGGTTGTGCATATATTTAAGAGTTTTGGCAATTTAATAAGACACGGGCCGTTGAATTTCTTTTTAGTAGCCTTTTCTTTAAAGCCTCATGGAGTGTGGTACTTTTTTTGCCAATGCCGTGGAATTGGAGAACGAGGCAAAATGGCTCTATGGTTGTACAGGCACCAAAAAGCAAAGGGACGTTTGGATGGTCCCTGAGACTTTTAAGAATCTGAGTTTCGTGCAGCACCTGGCGTGGCAACGTTCAGTTTCTTCGGGCGAGTCATTTGGTTTTTTCATCTCTTTTACTGCTGTTTTAATTCCCCTATATTCTGCTAAAAAGACAGCTCCAAACGTCCCAGAGCCTATCGGCTCATTAGAAGTCTTGTTTAGCAGCAATGGGCAGATTTCTCAAAGGGCGGGCAGCAGGTTTTTCTCCTCATCAGGCATCTTAGTTGTAGCACATTGTGTGGACTTATCAACCCTGGACAATTTGCTGAAAACGCACGGCTGGTCATCCAGTTTGGTTGAAATTTCCGGCCTCTTTCTTTTCAGTGATATCTTTATCATCTGTTGGCCTTTGCTATATTCGAGGCCTAGTTGCACTCCCCTTTGGCATCCCTCCTTCTCTCTCTCCCTTGCCTTGTCTGCCTTTGAAGAATTCTGACCACTTTTGTTGACTCCGTGTTTGTGTGGTAACTCTTGGCAGGCACTTTCATCAGCCAAATCAACCTGTACACTCGTCGTTTCATCTTTCTTGTTGGGAAAGTTGTGTTGAACATCCTCCACATTGTCTTTTGCATTCTTGCCACGTGCACGTGTCTTTCGTCTTTCCTCTCGCTTTAGTCTTACTCTTTCTCCTTCTGCCTCCGTTTCCACGCACATTTCTGCTTTTGCTTCTCTTCCTTGTAATGTGGGCGAGAGAAATACCTATCCCCTTTCGGCGACTTTAGCAGTTTATCTGGTTCAGACATAGCGAGACAACTCGGCTGACATCACAACATTGGTAGCTTTGAAATTCGACTAAATTTCTCTAGAGATCTATCAAATTTCAAGGTTTGTACTTTTTTTGTACTGTAGAATGATATAATAACTCAAACTACTTTGGTGCGGTTGCGGATCAAAAGCTGTGAATGTTCCTAGGCTGCATATGTTGCTGGTTTTTATTTAAGTATACGATTAGTTTGTTGTTCATCAGCATAAATTGTTCCTCCTCTCCTCCGTTATTGCATGTCGAGTACGGCACTATAGGTTGTTCGGCTCCTGGCTGTGGAGCGAGAAAAATAGCTCGACCCCTGCTCTTTAACGAAGCCAATCCGTCTGTCATATGTGCAACATACCTGCTTCGGGCTTGTTGTTTGCTGCATTAGTTTCACCTGTTTGACTGATAAAATAGGAGAAAACGTTCTCTCCACTTTATTAGCCTCTGTAGCAGGGCCAGGAAAGAACGGGGAGTGTTTCCCTTGTGCGCCCCTTTCTTTCTTGTGCCCATGACGTCCAAGCGCCTGCTACACAGCCTACTTTATTATAGACCTTTAATCCAAAAAAAAGCACCAAACATTGCATCTAACAGTGTGTTCCGCCACACCGCGCGTATATGTAGCCATACCCTCACCCCGGCAGAGAAACCTGTGTTAGGACAGTAGCTTTCTCCTTGACTAAATTCCCCTTTAATACATTGAACTCGTACCGTGGTTCATGACATTGACCATAAGCCTGCACGACATCGGGCACACGAGTGCTCCGACCATGCATGCATGAACAGCACTGCACGCAGACCCTGGCCCCGGTGTTGATTTGTTCTTGAGCCCACTTTGTCATTATCTGCGGTAATACAGTTAAGATTCAAGGTGGCGCTTAGTGAAAATGTAACCAAAACTGCAGGGGAATTATACTTTATATGGAATTTTTCTAAGTATGAAGCGCCAAATTTGAAAATGTATAGGCCCATTTGTGTTCCAAGTTATTTCATCATGTTCGTGTTAGTATGGAGAGCAGTAACGACGGAGTCGAAGAGATCGATAGAGCGGATATTACGCTACACAGAGTTTTCACAACCTGTCTGAACCCTGAGAAGGCTTGGTTTGCCTTGAACACAAATTTATGTTGTACAAAGCCATCTACGTTTTGCTCCTCAGCAAAGCTTTTTGATGAGGAATATGCTCTAGTCTAGTCCTTAAGATCCAGGACGGGAGCAAGGACGACGGCCGACCAGAAGTTGTTTTCCCATAAGAAGCATGCGCATTAGAGATCTGGTTTGTTTTCATGGTTGCGTGACCCCGTCGTGACTCCGTCGAGGACGGCAAAAACACCAGTTTGACGTTGTGCCCTCTGTGTACTTGATTTTCTTTGGTTTTCTCAGAGATTTAGTCCTGTAGACTCGTAATGAGCTCTGCTCAGTTTGTCTCGACCCCCTCCCCGTCATGTTCAAAGGAAACAAGCAACAAAAAGCCAGCATAGGTAAATATTTTTGTTGGCTCGTTTTATGTTTGTTGTTGGCTTCTGTCGTGCAGATGTTGCAGGTGTGATTTGTCTTTTCCTGTCATTTTTCTGCTTTCAATCATTGTTTAATGCTTATATAAATACCACTTTCAGAGTCATTCGTTTTTATTGAGTTTCTACTTGCGACTGTCGTACGGAGTTTATGTTTTTCGTGTATTCCGCGTGAAAGAGAAAAACAACTCCAAACGACAAACTTCCCAAGAGTGTTTTTCCTCCCTTTATAGAAATGACTACTTCTGTTGTGTTTCTGTGGAGTTTTGACTTGAATTGCTGAATAGCTGTCTCACCCCGGCATTTGTCAAACCTTTCATTTTCCTCTCCAGTGGCGTGCGTTTATCAAAACTCCGGAAAACATTTCGGGACCGAAATTTTTCTTGTCGGTTTTCTGTTGAACAACTGCACTTACTAGTGCCAATATTTTTGTATTAAATATTTTCTTGTATACAACCAACCTCTGCGGCATTTTTTCGTAGCTCGATAGCTCTTTGTCTCTTCCCTTTTCACAACAAAGTTGTAAAATGGGTCTCACTGTTCCTCACACTTGAATATGCTAAAATTACACATCATGCATGTGTTTTTTAACTTCCTACACAGTTCACACATTATATTTATTTCTTAGCATTATATTTGTTTCTTACTACCAGTGGGGTTTACCTTTCATCGTAAGGCATTTATTTGTTTTCCTCTATTAATATGATAGAGTTTTTGTAGATTGTGTGTTGTTTCTTTCACTACTGTCATTGATAGTTTATTTACTATGCCACATTTCGTATGACAGGATGTTCTGGACAGAGGAACATGATGTCATTTTAGTCAGAGAAATGCTAGCGAACAGCCAGCCTTTGCTGGCACAAAACGTGGGACAGTTCAAAGAGGTCGGAAGTGGAACAAATCTCTGAGCGCCTTTTGCAAGTAGAAGCCCCCAAATTTAAGGTTGACCAGAGAGGTGTTAGAGAAAGGTATGGTCTACTTGCCAAAGCATACAGGAGGAAAATTAGAGAGGAGGAAAGAGCAAGTGGGATTAGCACCCCAGAATTGACAGAGGTAGAGCAAGCCCTGGAAGACCTCATTGCGAGAGAAGATGAGGCTGATCGAGACCAACAGGAGACAGCAGCACAAAAGAGGAAGGTAAAGGAAGATAAGAAAGATGCTGAGGAAGTGAGAAAGAGGGCAATGGAGAGGCTGGGAGACAGAATGAAGAGAAGTGAGGTTGAAGGAAAGGGGAAGAAAAGAAGATCAAGTGGAAACAACACCCTGGAGTATCTAAAGGAGAGGAATGAAATGTTGGATGAATTTAAAAAAGAGGAGCTGGAGCTGAAAAAGCAGGAGTTGCAGCAAGAAGCCAAGAAGAATGAAGCTATGATGAAGTTGATGAGCCAGCAGCTGGCACAGCAACAGAAGCAAATTGATGGATTCCAGACCATGATGATAACCATGTTTTCTAAATTTTTGGAGAAGTGAACAAGAACTGCTTGACCAGATTTCATATGAGTGTGCAAGTGCATGATAATGATATTGAACCTTGCCTTCTTGTTGTTCTATTGATACTTACAGTGTGTTCAGTTTTAGCATATAGCATAATATTGGGGGTGTGGGAAAAAGACCTTGTTTTCCATACGAATCACTGCTTACATTTGGAAATTCCAGAGGGGTGGGGGTGACATTGCACCCCCTTCGATGGACAGAGTATGGATATTATTTTTTTGGTGTCAAAATCCTAGACACAAAAGGCATTTTGGAAATCTGTGAAGCACTGCTCACCATACTAAGAAAGAAATTGATGCAGACTTGACAGTATCTGGGCGACAGCTGCCATTAAAAGTTTTGTCAAGAACCCTTGGTTTCCTGTAATATTTCTTATGTGTATAATTCCTTGTGGAGATTTTCTGTTAAAACAAGCCTACAAACCAAAAACATTCAGCTATGTCCTCAAGTATGAATGACACTTAAGCAAAGTAATCTTCCAGAGATGGAGGGTCTAACTGGAAAAACTCAGAGGTTGTGTTACCATAAAGGCAAGTAAGTGCATTTCTAAGTAAGGCACAGACAATGTACATTTTCCCAGTGGGGCTTAAATCCAGCTTCAAGTCTTTCTTAAAATCTAAAAATTTGAAATAGTTAATGATGTCCCCAAAAATCCACTCGACTGAGGAACGAACTTTACTCATGGACTCACTGAAACTTTGCATCTGATGTGTCAGTACTCGATACTGAAATGGTCTTTGCAGATGAACACGGTGGGGATATGCTGGATCACCATAAATACACATTGCCTGGCCAGTTGGTGAAAATGCAGGCCTCTCGAGCTCATTCAACAGACCAGACTCGTCCAGCATTGATGCATCATGTTTTCTCCCTTCTGTATAAGAGATATAGTGGAGTTTTGAAATATTGTTGATGTTGAGCTTACAATCTTGAAATTTAATACTTCCTTCAAACCAGTTACAGTAATACTATGTAAAGCCAAAACCCTTGTGACCTTGATAGATATGTGTGCTTCTTTGAGGCTCAACTCATTTATGTAGAAATACCTACTAATAAATTAACATATAAGTTTTATGTTGTCTCCCTATATACATCTGTTCACAGGTACGGTAAGTTACAAAACAAATGTGTCTATGTCATAACGTACTGCAATGCATGTGAACTCTGACAATTCGTGACAGAGGTCACATGAATAGAATCATTTGAGTTCAGTCTGAAGAAAAAAGCCAACACTACAAGTGGCCAAGGGATTTAAAGAAATCATATGCCTCATGTTTATACCTTCCCATTGCCTTGGTATTAGCCGAAATGAATAATGCACTAACCTACATGTCCAAAAAGATTTACGATGAGTCCATTTGGCAGAGCAACTGACTGAAATTTTAGTCCATGTACACGTTTGTGTCCATCGTATACAGCTCTTTGGATTTCCCCAGGACGACAAATGGGCCTGACCGTGCCATCCACAAAACCAAAACAATTATCCAGGGAGGCACCTTTTGCAAAAACTGCATCTGCATAGGGAGTTTTAGCTCAATTTTCGTTAATTTTCATCACCCTTGAAATCACTGTTAAAACATTCTCTTAATTTTTCTGAACATTTTGCTTTTTGAATGAAGGAAATCGGCCTCTTAGAAGCAGAGTTATGAATTTTTAAATATTATTTAATGGGCATTTTTTAGGGAAATTTAAATACAAGACCAAGTTTGGATCTTATGAATATCCAATGGCACCAGAATTAACACTATGAATTACATTTTCAGCCATAACTTTGGAATGCAGCATGCTATGGCCATGAAACTTGGCCATCATGTAGAACTTTGTCAGAGCTATTATCCTATGTGTCAATCAAGTTGCCATGACAACCCTGATGACGTCACATCATAAATTAATACAGAAAATACTATTAAATAGGGCAAATTTTGATCAAAAGACAATAGGTATTGAATACAAACAAACAATCTGGCATTTTCTAGCCGTTTAAGGGATTAAGGGTTCTGTTTCCATGGCAACCACCTTATTTGGTATTATGAATTACATTTTCAGCCATTACTTTGGAATGAAGCAAGCTATGGCCATGAAACTTGGCCATCACATAGAACTTTGACAGAGCTATTATCCTATGTTCCAATCAAGTTGCCATGACAACCCTGATGACGTCACATAAATTAATACAGAAAATACTATTAAATGGGCAAATTTTGATCAAAAGACAATAAGTATTGAATAAAAACAAACAACCTGACATTTTCTAGCCCTTCTGCTATTGAGGGTCAAGGGATTAAGGGTTCGGTTTCCATGGCAACCACCTTATTTGTGACCCTTCATGCGAAAAGGGGGCTTATGGATTTCACTAAAAACTGTGAATTTTTTTCACGCTCACGGTGCGTGAATTAGAGTTTTCACGGCGTGAATTTCAAATTCCATGCCCGTTCACTCCTTGCGAGAATTTTTCACTCTTGGCGTGAAACTGATCATGTTGCAAAGGATCAGTGAAGACTTCCACGCCGTGATTATTAAACCGGTGAAAACTTTCACGCCGTGAAATTAAGAGTGAACACATTTTCACGCCTTGAAACATGTCGAGGGTGAATGAAATCTAACCTGTTTTTTTTTTGTTTTGTGTTTTTTCTCGCCCCTTTTCGAACTGGAAAAAAACGAGAATAGCTGGTCACGTCAAGCTAAAATTTGTGGAAGTTGATCCCAAGCAAAAAATAATATTTCTCTCAGCATATTCAAGCCGTTTTAAATAGCTCATGACAAAAATAAAAAAAAAGTGTATTCAGACTATTCCGCGTTCAGGCCTGTAAAGCCACAAATCACTATCAAACTAGTCACAATTTCTTGTCGATATTTTTATGTGTTCATGGCAAGTATCTTATTAGATATGCACGATCGGAACTGCGTGTGTTTCATGTCAATTTGCATTGTTTACATTATCTGTAACTGCAACAGTCAGTGACTTTTGGCTCTTTTTTTTCTTCTCGTCAACATGCAAATTTTCCCAATGTCGATGTCAGAGACAGTTATTTACCAAACATGGCAAGGTTTTCACTCAAGAAACCTAACGAAATTCTTTGCGGAAAGACTAACCATTACTGCCATTCCTAAAACCGGGATAATTGTCGTCTGTGTCGACCCGCATTGCAGTGAAGTGACTGATCTTATCTGCAGTTTTGTAGCCCCATCATCATCCATCACACGTGCAAACTCTACTTGATTTATCATGCTCCATTTCAAGTTCCTTGTCTCATTGCTAAATGTTATACTCAAAATTTCGCCGTTACAACGATCTGAACAGAAGGGTAAAAATGAAATAAATCCAAAAGATATCATGCAATATCAAAACATGCGTTACACATTTCTTCATCTTGTCGCCACCGAGTCTAGCATTTGCATAACTTCGTGGAAGAGATAAAAGCTTCCAAATTCTTTTAAATTTTAAACGACACTTTGGTTGTAAATTTAGAGAATACAAAGACGGAATCATGCAGTTGTTGATTATCTTCGGCGATCTTTAGTGTCTTTTTTTAGCGATTTTATCTGTTTTGCCGAAAATAAAAAATAAAAAAGTACTGACCAGTACATGTCACATTCATCTGGGCAAATAAAGGCTTGCATGACATCTAAACAATACACTTTTGAAAACAATGTTACATTAATTTTCATTTTGACTGTTGGAAGATTTTCACGGCGTGAAATTAGATTTCATGGTGACTGAAATTTTTCCCGGCATAAAATATTTTCACGGCCATTATAAACTTTTTCACTGCGTGAAATTTTCATGGTAGCCGTGAATTTTTCACGGCGTGAAAGAGAAATTTCACTCACATTCCAAAAATTTTTCTTACTTTCACGGCCTGAATCGTGAAAATAGGCATAGCATGAAATTTAGATAAGCCCCCAAGTCGCGTGAAGGGTCACATTTGGTATTATACATCAGCTTATCAAGGAAATGAAATCTTATATTACTCAGTCTAAACAACACAGAACCGAAACAGTACTATTAAAGGTGCCTGTTTCCATGGTAACAAGCTTATTAGGGCCGCTCCAAGTTGCTTAATGTACTGAAATGGGGCTAAGCTCTGCCTGTATGGGACACTTGGCTTGAACACAACTTTTTTTCAGCTTAACCTGTTTCAGAAAAGCTTAAGAGCACACTGATATGTTTCGTTCCAGAAAATCTCCATAGTCCTCACATAGAAGGGATTATAAATTCCTGGGGGAGGGAGGGGGGGTTAAAGAAATGTATGAAGTTTCATTGGCATTGCCAGAGGGGTAGGGGAGATCTTATAAAAACAAAACCCTTCCGTGGAGGAAATATGGATATTTATGGAGCTACACAATTCCAAAAAATATGTTCAAGTCAATATTAGTTGAGTAAAATTAAATCCCCCTTGTCTAAATCTTTAAGTAATGGCATTGTCCATTCATCATCATCCTCATCAGTGTCATACTTTATAATGTACTCAGGATCTGCTCCAACAGTAACATCTTCAGCAAGGTGTAAGACAGTTGCATTAAACCATTCTGCTTGCTCAGAACCATCCTCAATGCAGTTGTGCATTGCCCTTTTTCCAACAAGGAGAAGAGGATTTTCTCGAAACTGGGGAAGCATTTTTTTGCTCCTGGTAATTAAAACCTTTTGACGGGCATCTCTTAGCTCCTTTGCAAGCTTGGCTTTCTCTTCGGACAAGGTTTTACCATTGTTCAAAGCACTCTTGCATTCGCTTCAAATGGGGATTGAGTTCAAGAACAGACGTTGCTGTCTCAGTTAATCTGAGAAAGGGGCCAGTGACAAGTAGACAGGTTCTACAATGTCTTTAGCCACAAGCTGAAGTAAGCGATTTGGTGAAGGCCATTTGAAAAGGAAATCTGGAATATGGCTTTTATGGTAGAAAACAGCAGCAGAGTTGTAAAATATTATGTAGAAGCGATTCCCGATGAACTCAAGCAGTTTGCTTTCCACACCATTTTCAGAGAGATGCACATCAAAATACTCGGACACTCCAGCAGTCTGACTACCACGGGGATGAAAAGCTTCACATGCTGTTCTTGTTAGCCTGCAGGAACCAGACTCGTTTGAAGAAAGAAATGCTAATGGATTTCTGCCTTCTGTTGCAGCTTGTTCAAACAATTTTAAGGCTTTGTTTGCTTCCTCGCCAAGATTCACAAGTAAATGCAGTTTGCAATAAAAGTTTCCCATTTGCTCAAGGGATTTCTTTGAATCTTCACTGAGGTCTTCCCATTTCTCCACCACCTTTGGGAGTAATTCCTTTCGCGATTCTGTCAGTTGTTCATTAAAGGTAGTAGTACCATCTCTGTGGAGGGTGTTTCCAACTACCTGGGAAGGGTCAGCTTCTTCCAGCATAGCCCTCCCTAGCTGAACATCAGCAAGGTGCTTAGCCTCAACAAATAGGCGAGAGTGGACAGCCTTGCTTGGAAGTTTTGACAATCTCTTCCATGTCAATTTTTTCAAAACAGTTCGTATTACTTCATTGACTTTGCTCATTGAAACATTCATGGCTAGCAGGTCCATGATTACTTCTCGCACTTCGTCAACATACTTGCCATCTTCAAATGTGCTGATTGTCTCATCCTCCAGCAAGCAAGTAAGCTGTTCTAATTCTTTGTTTTCTTCTTTTAACTCTTTAGCACATGATTCAATTGCAGCATTATGTTCCTTTAGCAAATCAATTTCATTGGCCTGTGTGCTCTTTTGCTTTTTTATATGTGACACCTTCTTCTGTAAGCCAATTTTCTGCTGTTTTAGCTGTTCAACTTCACTTTTGGCTTGTTCACATTTTTCCTTGACGCCTGAAAGCTCAATTGAGATACTGCACTTTTCCACTTCAAGTTCAGAAATTCTTGATTTAAGATCATTAATCTTTGAATGTGCCCTTTTCTGCCTCTTGTTCACATTTCTAGGTGTATATGATCCTAGTTTCTCTTGAATCTCATTCAGCTTTTCTGATTGCTCATTGAACTGCTCTTGCAAACCTTTGAGATCTTGCTCAAAGGCATCCCTTTCATATTTACGTTTTGCAGCTACACCAGCAATATTGTTTGTTATTGTACGCATGTGTTCAACATTTGAAAAATATTCATACTCCAAAGCTGCTTGGTCATCAATCAAAGCATCATTCCCGTCCATCAGTCTCTCACTAAAACTAATCATTTTGCTGACAGATCTTTTTAGCCCCCTGTTTTCATCCTTAAGCTCTGCAATCTTTTTTGACTTTGGTGTTAGTGTTGCTCTCACCATTGGTGCGTTTGAGCTAGGTAAATGAAACAAACTTTGCTTTAGCAATTCAAGTTCCTCTTTCTTTTTATTTTTACCAAGCTTTTGGACTTTTTTCATTAAATCATTGCATGATTTGTTCACATTTTGAGTTGTCACACCACTCAAATACCTCTGCAGTTCCGGTGGAGTCAAAGCCGTTATCCATTGAAGCATTTGGTTGACAGAATCCCTCTGTTTCCAGAGTTCCAGGATAAGAGCATTAGTAAAGGACTCCCTGTCCAAAGGTTGCAGATCCCGATTCTTCAGGGCTGCCACATCCAAACCATTTCTTGCACAGTAAGGTCCCCCAAAAACATTATCTGTCAATGGAATTAAAAACATTCTTAAATCTCTGTTCTTATAATTGTCACACTTCAAAATTTGAGCACAAAGTAAAGATCACTGCTCAGTCATAAACATTACTCAGACATGTCAATAGCTAGCACCCAAAGCCCACAGATTTTCTCTTTGGTGGAATAATATACAAGCAGAATATTAAACAAAAGGATACCTATATACAATATTCCAATAATAATAGCGAATTCAAGCTGGGCATGAACATATTCAGCACAGTTTACAGCTGCTGAATACAACAATCACCAAGCTTCTGCTCCAGCAGGAAAATTGTTACATAACAGCCCGAGCAGCCAAAACTAGCGCATTTCACTTTCCTTTCTAATATTTGTATGTATAACTATAAGTGAAGCATAAAAAATCTCAATAAAGCAAAGGAATATCTGCTTACCTGCCATTTTATTGGAATCCGAAAGGCTTGTTGAAGTTGATGGCCCCTGGTAAACTTGATCCTTGCTGTGCGCCATGACTTTTGGAACTCACATATTATAATTCGCTCTCCGCCACATGAAAGCACGTCAAATTCGACTTATTTTTCGCTAAACAAAAACCTTAAAGGCTATAAAATACTACAGCTGTAGTTTAAACCGAATAATGATAATAGATCTCTTCGAAAACCGCTTCTAATTCAGATAATCAACGATCTTTCTTGAACTACGGCTGTTTGAACAAAGAAACTACTGCCTAGGAGTCCCCTGAGCCTTTAGCCCTATGGTTTCATACATTAGCTGTTGTTTTTCAGCCAATAAGCACTGCGAAATCGAATTTTGCCTTCCCCAGGTCAGGTCTGGTTTTGTCAAGCATGGTGGCCACGCTTCAGTTGCGATCCCTGATGCCGAGTGACAGTGAAGTTGGATTATTAGCAATAGAAATACGGTACCAATCACGATGAAATTTATAGGTTTTATTCTCTAAGGTATCTTCTGAAGGTAGGTGAATTTTAATTGCAGAAGAATACAATATATTAACGAGAATAAACAGAAAGTTTGGGATCGGTAATGTTTTGGCTCGATTTCGCGTGGGGAAATCACATGACTAAACTCCCTAATCGGCATAGACTTGAAGGCTAGCCGAATCAAGAAGGTTGTGATTGTACTCGCTTATTCTCTGGCCATGGAGGTTGTAAACGAAGTCAACTACTGTGTTACAGATCATGCTCATCACAGGAACAGCATGACCAAAACGGGGAATTAAATCTGAGTACCTGCAGGGGTAGCTAAATCTTTTCAGCATAATGCTTAACCCTTCAATGCCATTAGTCATGGATCCCTGGCTGTAGGTGAAAGTTTCGGGTAAACCAAGGACTTCTGCCAGCTCCGGGATGTCTTCTTTGTGGAAGCGAAATTCCGCTTTACATTCATCGTCCTCCATATCTTCAAGATCAAATTTTCCATACTCTTCGTACGGAAATTCGGGATTTTTTGATCGATTTGCATCGTATAGCAAGCAAAATTCCTCGTCGCCTATCACTCCGTTGTCATGACATAGAACCAATGCATCTCTTGCATGCTTAAAACTCATTTTAATGCGTATTTTTACACACAAAACATAAGATAACAAGCTGAACAAATCAAGCAACAGAGTTAGAGGAAAAGAAAAATTTTTTACTACGACATCAGCTAGATGACGAATTAAGCTGCCATATAAGCTTAAAACTTACGTCATGTTTTGAAGCCCCCAATACCCAAGATGTAAGAAAAAAACGCTTCCTAATCCACGATATGAAATATGAAATGTTTAACATGCTGTAGAATAAACCAAAATGGGCAAAATATTCTGGAAGCAAAATGGCGTCCCCGTCGGCAACAATCTTAAGCTATTTATCCATCGCGTGAGACGGGGACCTAGGCCTAGTCCTTACAGTCTTTTGGCGCGCCGTCGTCCTCTCTCCCGTCCTGGATCTTAAGGTCCCTATTTACACGGGAAGGATAGAGTTTACGCCTCCAGCAAATGGTTTTATGGCAGCAAAGGACTACGGAGTGACAAGGTACATGTTGCAACCGCCTTTGGCCTTTTCCTTGGTATTCTTTGGTTAAGATCATTAAAAGATTGCCCATTTATTAAAACCCGATATTTTGAATCGGTGGTATTGTGGCTGAACTCAAAGGCCTTCGATTTTCCCCAAAGCTTGAGGGCAGATACTCCTGAATTGATTAGGCTAAAATCGCATGTTTTAGCTATCGAAAACCAGTCATCTGTAGGTTCCCAGGAGATTTTAAGTTTGCGCGAGCCGCTAAAGACTTTAAAAGACGAAGATGTTGAAGATCTCCCCACTCCGCCAGCAACACTGAGCCTGCCAAAACTTCGCACTCTCTCGCCAAAATCCAACACAAAGAAGAATATTCCAAATCAATTGACGCCAAGCCAGAAAAGATCCAAGTGATTAAAACGAGCGAGAAAAAGAAGGATATTGGAACTCAAAGTCGATGAAAATCTCTCACCAGAGACCAAACGAAGAAAAATCCGTGAAAGAGTTGGGCCTGTTGTTAAGAAATTAAACAGTGTATGTCACGCCAAAGGAGAATCCCTGGGGTCGGTCCTGGGAGAATGTTACATCAACGGGAGAAGGAGAGTGTCAAAGCACGAGAAGCAGTACGTTCTGCTTTTGACGTAATGGTGACAGAGAAGGGAGCACGCGTAGCATTTTCGAAGTTGCTATCAGAAGAGACCTTGAATGCAAGGGCTCAATCAATGCGAGTTCCTGATTGGGTGTTAGTATTGCTTAAGCTGAAATCCAGAATCTCAGACAAAGGCTGGCAAGATTTCACCAATTTGACAAAACTTGGAAGAACAGGGGTAAGGTATAGCTTATTTTATATTCTTCATTGTACTTGACCCTTTGGCTCACTAACATTGCTCAGTTTTGTAATTGGAAGTAACAAATTAACCAAATAAATATACATTTATCTTATTTAGTTCTCAACAACTTTTTGTATTATTTTTGTTAAGTTAGCATTTAACAATGTATCAGGGGAGAGGCCAGCACACCACACATCTATCTTAAGACCAAACTCTCTCTCGATGGATGAGCAGTTCCCCTTTCTTCTTTACCGAGAAAGGTCCATATCTGCCATAAAGTGAGATGCAGTTTACTACTTTTAGTGAAGGTATTATTGTTTTTTTACTTACGAAAAAAAAAATGACGAGCATGTATTCCTGACCAAAAACAAGATTGTAGCATTGAAACAGGAGCAGTTTAAAGCGACTAGAAGATTGGTTGGTCTTCAGAAGCTACCACCTGATGTTCCAGGGTATGAAGTGAATCTTGCTAATATAATCACTTGGGCCATCCGGGAAATGTGGCTACATAGTTTTGCCTCCTCTGAAGTAGTCTCTAATTTGAAGGCTGATGGGCGCCCTTTCTTTGGTAAGCCACAAGTTGTTTTACGGTTTCCGCCGGGCCACTTTTTCGGGACGCTCGACAGGGTAATGAAAAGAACTCGATTTTAGTCTAATTCAAGCATCATTCCATTTACAATGCTTCTCATCATGTTAAAGGGATTTCAACATACACTTTGAGTGGTAATATGCTTCAGTTGATTGAGACCAGAATATTTTAGAGATTTTAAGATTCTTGAATAATTTTGAGGATTTCCCCTGAGCAAAATTTTGTCGAAATTTGAAGGCCTAAAATTCAATCTGATACATCGTTTGAAGAAGCAATAGATATCTGACATTTAAAAGTAACCTTTAATGTTTCGAAACATGGGTTCAAAACTTTGGGCATGTGAAATGAATTTGTGGGAAAGAGAAATTCAGGGAGCACTTGAGTGAAATTTGACCTGTCGGACTTTACAGTTATGAAGATCGGCGCGACACGGTGAATTCTAAAACAAATCTTTCAGCCGAGATACGTTTAATTCAGGCAATCCCGAGTAAGATGGAAAATTGTACCACAATGTTTAGTCAAAAATCGGCTTTTTATTGTAATCTGTCTTAACACGAATGCAAACATGATGGTCAAGTACTCGTATCATGACTCAGCAGTGTTTAAACTATCGATCCTGTCTAGCAAATAATCAGGTCGGCAATATTTTTGTTTGTACCTTATGTCCTTGCTTGTCTTTATGACCGCAAAACTGAGGCAAACTGCAGCGAAATGCCCGTGTGCTCGACGGGGCACTCGATGTGCGTCAAGGAAAGCTGTTACATGGGTGGAGAATGCATTACATAACATGACACGTACAAAAGGATCACAGAGATTCTTTATAGCAAAACTTCTAGCTATAAAAAAATGTACCGTTGTGATAGGTAAGTAGTAGTTAAGCTTTTGCACATTGTGCTAGAATATGCTTGGAACAAGTTTATAGTGAGGAACGAACAGTTTTAAAGCACTATTAGAGCATCTTAGTGGTAGTTTTCTGATTTTTCAGAGAAAATAGACATCAAAATGTAAAAAAAGAAATAAAAAATTCAAGAAACAAATTTGGACTGCTATGCTTAATATACAGTTGTTTAGAGGCATCGTTGTTATATCACTTGTTTTATACTTTTTGTCACCGTATAAATAAAAAGGCCTCATGATATTAATTATCTTACCGTTTTTTTTGGTCATGGGTGGGTGTGTGAGACTGATAATATTAATGGTGAAACAAACCGGAAAACGGAAGGGGATGAGGAAAAGTTCCAGCTCTGTGCCTACGTTTTTCGAATGGGCTTGCCGTTTGATTGTTTCCTCTTTTTTCTTTTGAATTTTCAGGCGAGCGAAGGCAGGGGATAACGTACTCCCCAGGGGCGGAGCAAAGAGCAGAAAAAAAAATAACGCCATTTTTTCCCCGCTCCTGTAGCTTGCGTGGCAAGCGTTTCCGTGCTGTTTCAGAGAAAAGAGCGCACCGAAAATTACACGAGTGAAAGAACAGAAGGAAACTTCCTTTCTTCCCCGCCCCCTTCCCCTCTTACATCTCGTTCCATTTTTCTGGCGGTGAAAATCCTGTTCCTCTTCTTTGCTCCGAAAACAAATGGAAACGCTTGCTACGTAGGCTACTTTCCCTGTCGCTCCAAGCCAGTGCCCACTTTGTCTTTCGTTCGCTTGGAAAACGCGAAAAATAGTGCATGTTCTGTAGGTTAGTTTTCGCTTAGTTTGTGTGTAATTGTTCATATATTAGTTTTTTTATATATGGATTTTGTCTTCTTTCCACCCAACCCCGACCTCACACTTCTATTGGTCAACCCTTTACTAAAAGTATTAGCTCGTGTTGTTTTTTTCCCTTGTCATAAGTCACACTGTTTCCACTAACATTAGCCTAAGGATGTGCAAGAGCAGGCGGCCACAAGTTCTGAAATAAAATCCAGATATGGCTTTTTCCTGTGCCTAGATGATGTATCCTCATGTTGAAGTGATAGCAAATCTCACAAAGCTGAGCTACAGTAAGCTTACTGAGCTTTTTGGTTGAACTTATCACACAGAGGTTCCACGTGTCGTATATGGGATGGGATGCACCAGTGTGCTTTGCATCAGGATTGTGTTGCATGTAATTAAGAAAGCTTTTTCGTCTTCGGCTGCTTGGTTGTCAGTGTCTTTGTCGTCCTCCGGAGTAGCAGCATGGCGAAGTTTCGCAGCTGCTGTGGAGAAAAAGCTCTGGATCTGCCCTGCGGTTAAGAACTCGTCCATCTTGAATCGGCGCTCGCCTCTTTCATTGCGTGCATACCACATTTCCCTTGCTACTTGTTCAGGGTCAGCCTTATGGCCCATCTCCTGACCAATTCTAAACTTATCCCCCAAGTACTTCCTCTGGTCTTCCGTAAATCTCGCTGTCTTCTTAGATCCTTTTATGGCCCAGCCTTTCTGTAGTGACTCAACAGCTTCACATTGCTCAGCCTGGACGACGAGAGTAGGCTGAGCACTGTCTCCGACGGTAAACATCTCTGCATAAAGAAGGGCCGCTTGATCTAACAAGTTGTATTTCCTGTGCAGTCACAAGCAGCACTGACCAAACATGATGTGGTTTTCGAGGTTCGAATACCTTTGATAGGTCTTCATGCGGCCATCCACTGGGCAACAGAAAAGGCCACTGTCTTGAACAATCTCTTCATCGACCGTCTTGCTGCTGATCTGGGATTCTGTCGCTTTAGCCGATGGTTTCTTTTCCCAGCACTGGACAAAGTCTCCAGGTGACAATTCGAACTCGTATGATAGACAAGGTAGTTTACTCGGTACTGAAAGAAGAAAAAGGGGATAAATGCCATTAGTACGCAACATCACATTGCAACCTCCTCTATGAAAAACAAGGTAATGTAATAGATGTTTGGCTAACCTTGTTGTCGGGACCAGGGGACAGATTTTCCAGGTCCAACATCAAAGGCCTTCCACACGGTTACTTGATTGTTATCTCTGTAAGCAAAATTATTATGGTGCTGATTCCTTCCCAGCGTCCTGGTGCCTCCACCTGTAATAGTCAGTATAGAACGTGATGCTTTAGATGGTCTGTCCTACAACAATTATAGTAACTTTTTACCTATAATTCTGAGTAGTCAGATGCAATTACTTGCTGGCTCTGATCTGAGGAAGTGGTGACAAGAGCCACTCGCACACTGTTTATGCCCCTGTGAGACAACATAGTGTCATGGAATTCCTGGGCAGTAACCACATTATAGCCTTCGTTGACATAGCGGCGAACATGCGCCTTCACAGTTGCTGCTTTACGATCGCACACACCCTTCCCACCTTGGGGATCCCTGAAGTCTACCCTTTTTACGCGGATGCCAGTTTCCCCTGCCATCAGACGACTGATACCATGGCAACGCTGTGATAACAGCCGGCGTTATCTTGCCTCAGTGCTGCTGTCTCAATCTCTGGGTGCTCGCGTTTGAGGGTCTTCAGGGTGTGGCGTAAAAGCTGGACCACGCTGTTTCCTTCTTGGCTACAGTTTTCCACGATGTGGACAAAGGTCTGGTGCTGTAACGTCGCATTAGCTCTTCACACAACCGCACTAATATGCCTAGAGATACCTCGTTTCCCAAACCAGTGGGCTTGGGTTTTTCGACATCTCTGTGGCAGCCACTTCATAACCCTCTTTTGACATCTGTTCGTAGCGCATTTCAAGCTCGGCAGTGCATAAAAGAAAACAAAACTGGCAAGGGCTATTGCAAACGCTCCTGTTATAATGAGCCGTTCGTGATACGAATGAGATTATACAGTATTGTTTGTTTATTTGCATCAGGCACGGCTCACACTATGAGAACGTTGTTTATACGATACTATGTTAAGGCTTAGTTGTAAGTAAAGTAGAGTCACGTCGTCTTGTAATAAGACTTGATATACTGCTTTGCGTCCATAAGTGCTCTCTGCCAACGTTCAACCCAAGTACAATCACTGCTCACTTTGGGAAGCATGGCAATAAGCTCATCGAACGCTTTTCCACAGTCTGCTGCAATATAGTCTAACCCATGAAGTGACCGTCTAACAGTTGCAGAGCACGACGAAAGTATGCGTAGCATCGTTGACCTACTGAGTGGGGTGAATTGATTGAGTTCAGCTTTGACAACACCTAGGTTTCTGCAGTCAGTCATTAACTTGTTGATGTCGGTTCGTTTGCGGGAAACCGCCTTTAATGCATTTGTTTGTCATTGTTTCAGCCGGCGAATTTTTTTTTTTCTTCTTCTTCGCCTTTTTCCGTTAATTTTCGGATCCTTTGAGATTCTTCATTATTGGTATCGGAGTTTTGAGCGTTTTCGTTTCCCTTTTCGTTTTTGAGAGTTTCCAAATTTTCTTTATTGATATCTTCAAGGATATGATGGGTGAGTTCAGTTCTGTCATCACTGTTTCTGAGCGTGACGTCAACACTTTTGCTTAGTGTTCCTTTGTTTGACCACGTGGCTTCGTTTGTTGCCATTTTGGACGTTACGTTTTCGATTGTAATTCGGACAAACCAAGTGTTTGAATGTTGCGTTGTACAGCACGCTCTGAATCCACAAATCAATTGAGAATTTTCAAAATGAATGTGAGGGCGAAACGTTACTCACAGGACGATCGTTTAATCCCACGTTAAGACAAAATTCTTGACATGCTTTAAGAACTTTCGCTACAATAATGATGCTCACGACGATAAGGATGTAAACAAAGTTTATTGAAGCGAAGCAATGAGAGGTAATAACAATGTTGAAAGAAGCGAAGCGATGATTAGGCAGTGTAAACGAAGAAAACGATGTACAAAGCGGTTTCGAAAACTAAGAAATAAATACAGCGAAAACTATAGTTAGATTAACTAGAAACTACGTTAAAACTACGAAAACAAACTTTGGATTTCATTAATACGATGCAAAAAAGGCTTTATAAAACGTAACATATGCACGAAGTGAAAAGACTTACTTCTGTGTCCGCTTTAGGGATTTCACAGCGTTGACGTTGAGCCTTACTTTAATCTTAACACAATGACACATTGACTAGAACTGAAAAAGTT